GTAAAGAATTATATAACACAACCAAGTGAGATTTTCCCTTTACAGACACAATTGCTTTAATACTTGAAAATATATCAATGTAATTCATCATGATTGTGTTAGGCAGTGAAGTATCACCAAAAATACAGGGTAATTCTGGGTTAACAGAGTTTGTTAGAAATAAATCCAAAGACAGCAAAGGCCACTTACCTGAATAGCATGGGACAAATCTGACACAAGACACTGGCGGAGCCTCTCATCACTCCCAATTCCCTGAAGCACAAAGTCAGGCACATAAGATGAGCAGTAGCCACCCAGCAAGGACCTCCCAAAGTTGGCAATATTAGGTTGAACAGAACTCACTTCAATTAACTTTGACCTGGAAGAAAGGTCCCCCCCAAAGGGGCATATCTAATTAGTAATAAGTACCTCTTACCAAAAAAAAAAAAATTTCAACTCTACTAGCCCACATATTCAGTACCACCATTTTGTATAAGTACTTTAATTAAACAACTTCACAATGAGATGGGCATAAATCTTTCAGATTTATGGCAGACTTCAGGAAAGTATAGTTGTCCATTTTATTTATAACATATTCCCAATACCCTTGAGCTATATCAAAATCATCGTGCAAAACAAAGCAGCTAACTACTTCACAAATGCAGTTTGGTATATAATATTTCACAACAGTGGATGAAATGTCTCCTTATATATCTGACCCAGAGTGTGCATTCCCTGTTAAATCTATTTCTAACAGCTACAGCAGTTTCAAAAGTGTGTGGGAAAATAGCATTAAAAGTCAATGGATTTTCCTATTGATGTAGTGAAGCCCCTAGCACATTTCCCTGCATTCTTAGTGATTATGTTTAGCTACTTGCCAGTCTCAGTAGAGGCCTTTTGGGGCTTAATGCACTCCTAAATCACTTGAATTGAAAACATCTAAGCACTAAGAGATAAACTAATTAGAACCTGTAACTTTTCTCTGGTGCATTCACAAAACTCCTCTGTGGTGTCAGGGTCTTAGCCTTTAACCCTTCCTATAACTGAAAGCACATGGCAATAAAGAAAACTTGTCCGGCCCAATGACCTCTTCATTTACATTAGCTACTACTATTACTCACAGCAAGTGTAGGACTAAGCTGCCTCTTTTGCATTTCCCAGGGTGTAAACCTTTACAGGGTAGGAAGTTACATGTTCTCTTGCGAAGCACACCTGGGGGGCCTGGAACAGATGATTTTGTGGTTAGCAGCCCATATGTAACCAACGTGCAACCAAGTGGTGTATTGGTTTACCTGCTGGACTGCTAGCCACAAGGTCAGCTGCTTGAATCAGGCTCTCGTAATGGTCTGTTTATGAAAAGTCAACCACTAAAAACCCTTTGGAGCACAGTTCTACTCTGACACACATGGAAGTTTTCATGAGACAGAAATGGTTCAATACCTGTTTGCTTAAATCCAAAATACCAAACCCACCTTAGGTGAGTTGTCAGACTCATAGGGACCCTATAGGAAAGAGTACAAGCTGTCCCATACTGCCTCAAGCCTATAAATCTTTAGGGAAGCAGAATGTCCTATATTTCTCCTGAGCAGCTGCTGGGTTCTAAGCCGAGAGCTTACCCATGGCACCAGCAGTTTCTTGGTAACTGGTTACTGTATACGTGAAAACATACTTACCCAGGAAAAGGTATCTCTTCCTCTTCTGCCCAATCTTCTTGCTCGCCTCCATAAAAACTGCTGACTTGTCTAGTCACATCATGACCTGTATCTTCACTTTCACTGTCACCAAGGGCACTATCTGAACTTTCATTTCTTGGAATGTCCCATTCATTTCCTACAGTAATTTTTTTCTCTGAACTCTCTTTATCTCCATGGGGGACAAGAATAGAGAGTGTATCTGTTTGGTCTTGCTGAGGAAAGCAGGTTTTATATGCATCTTGGTGAACTGTTTCTACACATTTACATAGTAATTCATTTTTCTGTGTGCTATTTTTTGAACACAATCTTTTTGGAAACTCCAACACACAAGAGTGCTCTTTATTGCCTGTACTTATTTTAACTGGAATATCATCAATAGTCCTGGTTTCAATGGAATCATCATTAAAATATTCGTCAAATAAACTCATGCTGTCGGGGTCTGAATGATTCCAACAGGGAAGTTCACAGGCCTCTCCAGAAATCCTCTTTTGTATATCAGAATCTCCAGGTTGGTCCTTAGCCTTTTGTTTAGTTTCTTGATGCAGATCAATAGCTGCTCCTTCTTCCTTCAGAGGCTTGCTATGATACCTGGTGATCTGATCCACCACTGCCTGACTCCGGAGTTCAGTATCTGAATCAGGTGACATGGAATCCCCAATCAGGAAAGTAACCTTTGTCTGGGTTGCCTCACAAGAAAGTGAAGGTGATACAAGCTTGTCTGGAGGTTTTTTTTCCACAATAATTCCCGTGGATCTCATCATTTTGCCTGTGTGGCCATCTGAATCCAGCAATTCCTCACTCTGCCGTGTTTCCCCTGGTGACTCTAAGCCTGATTCTGACAATGAACATTTGTCTACTGGAGCAGATCCTATGCAAACAACCGTCTCTAACTTGGTGTCAAGACACGTTCTTAATTTATCTGCATACTGCTTAATATCAAAAGCATTTTCTTCTTGGCAATCAGAAGTAGTAAGCATTTGGCACTCATCTGAAGTTTCTAACAGTTTCTTAGAGATATTTTGAACATCATCTCTCTCTTGTGAAACATTCTCTGCATTTTGCTCAAGAAGTGGACAACTACAATGTTTACAGGTACAATTAGGAATCCTTGTTTCTTCTGGCTCTTTAAAAAGCAAACTGCTTTTGTTTCTATGCATTGTGATAAGTACATACTCAGATTCTTCTATTTCACCTTTCTCTAAAGTGGTAGTAATTACTGTGCCAGGCATAACAATGGCTTCATCTTCCCCATTTTCTAAAAGATGGGTTTCTTGAAGTTCAGAGCATCTTATGAAGTAAGTAAGAAAATAAAGCAGCCTCTGGACCATATCTTGTCGTTTGCCAACTACCACAGTCCTTGCTGACCGTACAGGAGAGCCAATAGCGCCATACAAGTCCCCTGCAACAGAAAACTCAGTTACTGAACACGCTTGCTACTCACATAGTTAATTTCAAAGATCAGAAACCTACTCTTACCGGATGAGGGGTAGTCAAATTTTATGCTTAGCTGTTTAACAGATGAGTGACTATTCAGGGGAGTAGGCTAAGAGGAATGGGATTAACCAGGGAGAAAAGTCTATGAGAGGTTTCTAATGTCCTCCTTAAGCAGTTACTATGGTTCTAAAATCTTAAGTAAAGCGTCAATTTTCTGAGGTCACATTAAAATAGAACATTCTCTGTGCAAACCCCTGAGGGTACTTCAATCTGGGAAGAGATGTGTTGCCCGGAGTAGTGTACATAACGATTCTGTGGTTGTGCCAAACGCAGTGAAGAAAAAGCATAATACCTGTATGTTGGGGGAGGGGGTTAGAGGGGAGGAAGTAGTGGTAGAATGGAGCAGAACTGTAGTAGTCATGCCATATACTTAACCACATGTCTTACATCATATCCTGAACTTCAACTGCCGCTGCCCTACCAGGAGCCCTCATTCCTTATTTTTGTTGTGCTAAAATCTCACAAATGTTTAAGCATAATTCACAGAGTGTTAAGAGTTTTCAAATTACATACCTAGTTGTGCCCAAAGTGGGTTATATGGGTGAGTCTTTGCCAACATGTCCACACTCTGCGAGGAATGTTTTTCTAAAAATATTTTTATAGGTGGCTGTCCATTTGGCATGACTGTTGGGACCCAGGCAAGATGATTGGTCAGAACTGCTGTAATGAGAGCTGGCAAGAATCTGAAAACAAAATGGATCCTATCACATTTCAATCGGCCTTCATGAAACCTTAAGGAAAATGCAGTATCAGAACAGAGCAGAGTACATAGTACCACATGGCATAAAAAGGTGGGGAAAGAAAAAGATGATATATCACTAGGATGAAACTGAAAATAAAGTTTTCATTTGACAAGATGTTGAAACGCCTAAAAACAGGAACTCACAAGGATACTTAATACAATGATATGCACAACAGCATTATTAAAAATATCCAAAAAGTAGAAACAAGTGTCTATCAACAGATTGGTGGAAGAAAGAAAATCGGCTATTACTCAGCCATTTAAAATAATGACATTCTGATAAATGGATGAACCTTGAAAATATGCTAAGTAAAATAATAAAGACAAATACTATTAAGACCCCATTATCGGCGATTTCTAGAATAGGAATATGCACAGAGACAAACAGTAACTAGTAGCTACTAAGGGTTGGGAAGGAAGTGGGAATTATTGTTTAATGAGTACTGAGTTCTTATTTGAGGTGATAGAAAGTTTGGGAAATAGTAAAGATAGTCAAACATTTTCAATGTAATTAATGCTAGTAAATTTATGCACTTAAAAATAGCTAAGAAAGCAATTTTTGTTACATATATTTTACAATACAAAAAATGAATCCATGGAATCTAGCATTTTCTTGTGTTTCTGATTTGTTTTAATGTTCTATGAAATGAGGTTGTTTCATAAATGGATATAATTCACAAAAATATGGGAAGCTCCACAGAGTTCTCTAAAATGGGAAGAATTCCAATGTAACAAAGGGCATCTTTATCTTCTCTCATTCCTAAATTCTGTGATACTCTTTCATATTCTATAAATCTTTCTCTTAATTATTTTCAAAAGGGTGACATATTATTAATTATATAAAATAATTATATGGCTAATGGTTGCTTATTTTATGTTGTTTGGGGGTTTATATACTGGACATCTAAATAAACTAAATGATAACTTAGCTTAAAAAAAAAGGAAATAAATAACTCAAGTAAGCCAGATTGAGTGTCAATGCTTACGTTTATTAACAAAAAGCTTAGTACTTAGACACTGTTAACCTAGCTCAGAGATCATAAACTGGTACTTTGAGGTCAACACTGACTCTGGAGCTCACATCTTTTGCTTGCTGTCTGTTAAATATGAATGTGTTTTTACCATTAAAAATTAAGATATTTAACAAAAGAGAAGTCCAGCTACCCTTGTAGCTGAAGATATGACAATAGTCAAGAACCAATTATAAACAACTCCCTATAGACTTGGAATCTGTGCTAGACTTTATGAAAAGCCCTACCAGGTTGCTGGTCTCGTTTACTACATGTGAAGAACCCTGGTTTTATTCAAGAACTATTTTTATTGAAAGCTAATAAAACTGTATTTGAAGAGACTCCTAAGTTCAAACTTCCTGGTAACTCTATTTCTCTTTTGGTTTGTATTATAAGGTTTAAATATTTTTTTACAAGCTGAATTATATCAAAATTGGAATGAATTATATCAAAATTACAATAGAGGCATGGAATCACAGAGCAAAATTTCATATCCAAGGCAACAACAAAAAAGAAAAACAGCTCTAACCTTTTGACCTTAAAAAAAAACTAAAAGGAACAATTAATTTAGTTTAAAGTTATAAAGGTAAATAAAAGAAAAGTAACCTGGGGAACCGATTACAATGATCTACATATAACCTCCTCCTTGGCGGACGGACAACAGAAAAGTGAATGAAGGGAGATTTTGGACAGTGCAAGATATGACAAAATAATTATTTATAAATTATCAAGGGCTCATGAGGAAGGGGAGAGTGGGGAGGGAGGGGGAAAATGAGGAGCTGATGCCAGGGGCTTAGGTGGAGAGCAAATGTTTTGAGAATGATGAGGGCAATGAATGTATCAATGTGCTTTACACAATTGATGTATGTATGGATTGTGATAATAATTGTATGAGCCCCTAATAAAATGATCAAAAAAAAAAAGAAAAGTAACCAAAAAATAAAGTAAGTCATACTGATTCTTGGCAGCATTTTCCATTAGGAAAGTGAATTCCTTCATAAAACGATGGCAAAGCTGGTTCTTTTCTGGAGTTCCTGACATCATTGTAAGCCACACAGGCTCGCCAATCCGTGGCATTGTGTAAAGGTTACAAATGGCTGTTCTAAAAAAGAGGAAGACACATTATGAAGTTCAACATTCCCAAAATCACACATAGTATTCTAAAGACAAAGTTCATGTTGCCAATTTGATGTATTATGTCATTCCTTCTGTGTAAACAGTTGCTGGGGCCTGTTCTACACACTAACTCAAATTATGTTTCTTCTGGCGGTGAGAGCCACCAAAGACTTTTATGTGTCCCAAGGTAAATTATTTCTCTACTTTAAGTATCAGATTCCTCCACCTTTAAAAACATGTGATTGGACATGGTGATTTGTAAAGCCACGTCTAGCTCATTAAAGTATACATCATAACTAGATATTCAGCAAACAACAATAGTATATTCCACAAACCAAAGCAGCCTCTCACAAATGTGATGTATTTAAACAAGCAAATGCCCCAATACATCCAAAATAAAGCCTGCACCCATCAAGACAAATCCAGCGCAAAATGACCCTATAAGACAGAGTAGAATCCCCCCATAGGGTTTCCAAGGATCTAAACTTTTATGGAAGCAGATTGGTCAACAACTTTCTGCAATAGCATGGTTAATGAGTTAGAACCACCAACCTTTTAATTAGTACATGAGAGCAACTTAAGGATGATGCACTGCCAGGACTTCTCCCTACCCTCATACGGAACATCATAGTCTTCAAAGTTCAAAAATACCACCAGTTTTTCAAAAATTGAGGTACATGGAATAC